TATTCCCATCTAGTGATATTATTTTATAATTATGTTATTATAGCACAAGGTTCAGTTAGCTTTGCACCAAAATGGAAATATCCTCCAAAGAGCTACTTTTTACTTTATTACTTTTGCTTTACATTTCAGAGCCTGTACTTTTACTTTTACCTGACTAAAGAAGTTGAATCAGTACTTCAACTTCTTTTTAACAGCAGTGTTTGTACTTCTAAGTAAGTACAGATGTGTGTACTTTTGCCAATCTTGTGTGCAGCAAACTCTTATAATACACTTGGAGTTTGCATGTGCTGTGAGGTCCTTGCCTCCACGTGGTTATGTAAATTGGGCAGTGTACAGGTACATTTACATATGTATATATATATACATATATATACATACACACACACACACACACACATAATGGCTTATATATATAGTCTATGTCAGCGGTCCCCAACCTTTTTTGTGCCACGGACCGGTTTATGTCCGACAGTATTTTCATGGACCGGCCTTTAAGGTGTCACGGATAAATACAACAAAATAAAACCAGTAACGGTACCAAAACAAAGAAGATTTATTCATAACGCACAGGAAAAGACCCAGGGAAACCGAGTTAAGGATAAAAACAAGCATCAACTCTCACGGCGCGGTACCGCTCCATAACCCAGGGGTTTGGGGGCTACTGGTCTATTTCTTTTGTATGTTTTTGACCTGGGGGTAGAATTGCTCATAAAATAAATAAATAAATAAATAAATAAAATAAAATAAAATAAATAAAAATGTAACATATATAAGGTTATTCTGTTTGGTCAGAGTTTTTTCAGAAACAACACAATGTCAAAAATAAATTAACTTCAAATAATCTAAAAAGAATAAATAAAAAATAAACACCTGGTAAATATTTCCTTTAAAAGCATTGCTGTGTTTAAGTTTGGATAGAGACTGGATGAACTTCTGAACATTAAAAGATTCAGTTTGTGACACACAACTTAAAATAGAAGTCGTAAATAAATAGACATTTTATTTCTGCATCGTCTGATAAATGAAATACTAAAGATTGTTCTGTTTGGTGTGATGAAAATGGAGGACAGCCAACATTAGTCAACTAGTCTAGTTATAAAATAGTCTAGTTTATATCCTATAATTATAGTTTAGTAAACCTCACGCAGTCGGTTTCTTTAGAGCGTGAATGATACTCTGAAAATCAAGAACATTGAAGTTATGTGAGGAAACAGGAAACTTAAATAAAGAAACATTATTGCAGTTAAAAAAAAGTCTTGGTGTGTGTGTGTGTGTGTGTGTGTGTGTGTGTGTGTGTGTTTGTGTGTGTGTGAGTTTTGAAGGCGTGACCTCGTCATTAAGAGAAGTAAGAAGTTCCTGGTTTGAAGTAAAGAAGAAGAGAAGCAGCATTAAACCATCAGAGCTCTGAGATGAAACACACTTTGCTCTGCTTCATCTTCCTCAGTGAGTAAATTCTCTTTTTATTTCTGTCACTTTCTCTGTTCTAAGTCTTATTTACCTTCACTTTATTGTCATTTGTAGGTAATCAGCTGGTTTTACAACTTGCTTCACTTCTTTGTTCTCTCTCATACAAATTGGAAAAGAGTCACTCAAACATGCAGCTCAGAGAAAGGACACTTTGTAATAGTTATAAATAGATAAAACCCCGAAATATAAAGATGTGTGGAATTTAAAATTTTACACGAACTTCTGCTTTTGCACGACTGCAGTGTGCAAATAATTTAAGTTTCACATCACTTTAAGAATTTATTCTTCTTCCTGCTCCTTTTCATGCATGGAAACTGTTACTTTAATTGAAAGGAAGGTTGTGTATGGGAATGAATTACTGCTGTACCATGTGTGAAACAAAACAATAAATAAATAAATAAATTCCCAGAAATCACTTTGGAACATCGGACTTTTTATTGTACATTAAGCCTCCAATCTTTTTTTTTCTCTATCCTTCTGAACCACTTACTAGATCTCCTGAAACAACACTGACTTATTCTTTATTTCATACAATGAAGAAGCACAACAACGTGATAATCATCTGTCACATTTAATCTATAGTAAGATTGTAACTAATGATTGTTCATCCTTTCAGCAGCACTTCAGGATGGAAACACTGGTTTGGTCAAAGCACAAACTCTCACCCACAGAGCAGAGAAAGGAGGAAACATCACAGTTGCGTGCAAATTTACTTTCTCTGGAAGCAGGAAACTCTTCTGTAAGAAAAAATGTGAAAATGGAAACATTCTTGTTGAAACATCCAGTGATGCAGCTCAGAACGGCAGATACAGCATTAAATATGAAAACAAAGGTGTTATCTCAGATGATATTATGTATGTGAGCATCACACAGCTGAAACAGTCTGACTCAGGACGGTACAGGTGCTATTTGGAGAGAGTCTTGTTGACAGATGGAAACGATGATTTTGAGCTGATTGTCACAGAAGGTGAGTTTCTGCTAACAGTCGTGTTTGTCTTTGAAGGTGTGACAGAAGCTTCACGTCTCAAAAGCAGCTACTTTTCCTTCAAATCACCTACAGATGTTATATTTATCTGAAACATCAAGTTTCATCAGTTCTGCTGTCAAACAGCCCATAACCACGTCAGTCACATGCAGATATATAAACTGCTTCAAGTGGTCTTATTATGACTCTGATGGTTTCATTGTTCACAGCTTCAACCACTTCAACACCAAACGGGACTCTGAGAGCTTTTTCAGCTTCAGTGTTTCTCTCATCAGCCTCCACACCACCAACAACACAGAGTTTAAGCTCAAGTTCAGGAAGCTTCACACCTTCATCAGCCTCCACGCCACAGAAAATGGAAACAACACAGAGTTTAAGCTCCACATCTTCATCAGCCTTCACTGAAACCAAACATGCAAGATCAGGTATATTGGGTGGCTGTCGCTTAGCAGGTAGAGCATGTCATCTGCTAATTGGAAGGCCATTTGTTTGATCTCATATTCCAGTGTGTTTATCAGAGTGTCACTGTTGGATAGAAAGCACAAGGTGTAGGAAAAAAGTGTTTGCCTAAAAGGATGAATAAGGCAGGTCGTATGAGTGCTCGAGTAGAAAAGGGCTTTGGGTTCATTCATGTGTTTTTATCAGAGAACTACACAAGAATGACACATTAAATGCTGTGGAAGGAGCGCTCTGATATTTTAGTGAATGAATTAGAAGCAATAAATTGTTCTGTCGTTCTTGATAAACAGTTTGTCAGATAGTGTTTGAGGAACTGTTTTCAGTCCAATGATACGTTACTCTGTATGTGCACAACTTTACTGCTAAATGAACAGATGTTGAGACCACATGTTTACACTGTGAGTAAAAGAAATCTTCTCTGTTAAACTCCTGCAGATGTGCTGATTTATGTGGGTCTGATTCTGCTCGTTATGATCGTCGTCTTATCAGCAGCTCTGCTGATTTGCTGCATGAAGAGGAGGGCCGCTAAACCCAGAGGTGAGGCTAGGAAAACAGAAAAGGCTAAACATGCTCAGCTCAGAATGTCTCAGTTTGCATGAATTAAGTCAAGTGTGACGTTTCTGTCACGCTGTTGAAAAAAATGTTCATTTATGACTCACAACAGAAACTGACTGATATGATTTTGATTCTTTATCAGTCATGTGCCTTATTCAACTGTAGTTCATATGTAGTTCCTCATATCATTCCTGTGTTTAATTCCTCAGGTTCTTCTTCCTGTTATGAGCCTTAAAGACAGACGTTTATTTTCTGACCTGCATGTTTTTCAGGACCTCCTGTGGAAACAGAGAATGCTGACACGCAGGTGGGTTTTAGGACCTGTGACACACATCAGCTTCATTATTGTTTGCTTTGTATCTGTCAGTTGGTTTGTTCTCCTGCTGCAGGCCGACAGGTTGTATGAAGATATTAGAAAGTGTGACATAGCGAGCAGGTCACCTCCTGTAGAAGTGTCTTCAGTTTATGCCACCGCCAAAGACCCCCGTTCAGATGGAGTTGAAAATATAGACCTCTACAGCCTCGTCACCTCTCCTCAGAACAACGTGAGTAAAACTGTGTTGTGATTCTAAGCTGAGGTCATAAACCAGGCAACTGTTTGTGTAGTGAAGTAATTCATCTGTTCTCAGACACAAATGTTCCACTGAAGACTGAAAAAATAAAAGTTCTTCCTCTTTGTTTGGAGCAGATAAAATCTTTTAAATTGAGAAAAAGATTGAAAAGAATCCTTTCTATACTGAAATTTGTATTTTTGAATAAATATCAGCTGCATACTCAGTGGGATTTTAAAAAAAAAAACACCTTTCTGGTGAAAAACAAATATATCAAAAGTTAAGGTTAATTAATCTGTATTTAAAACTGTAAAACACTGTCCAGTAAAGAAAAAAAAAGCAGTCTAGTAAATCCTTCGTTTGTGAACTTTGTCATGTTCAGATTTTGTTACAAAGGTATTTTGAAAGGTGACTTCAGAGGCTTTATGATGATTATGACAAAAATGTATTCTTGATTTTTGTTTTCAGATGTGGGTTTTTCAATTTAAATATTCAACATTATTTCATTTTAACAGTCTTATTTCTAATGTTTGATCTCACCTCTTTATCTCTTTAAGGCAGATAACCTCTGCTACGCTGAAGTGCATTTTCCCCACATTCCTGCCACCAGCAGCGCCGCCTGTGGTGAAGCAACTGATGTTGTCTACTCAATGCCTCAGGTGGACCTGAGTACTGCCATCCTCACCAAAGATGCTTCACCTCCTGTGTACTCTACTATTTCCTCACAATGAATATATTAGTACTTTTTTTAAACCTGTCCAGCAGCTGTAACAAGTGTAATGGTCTGAATGCTTTGTTGTGCCAAACATATTTACTTTCCCACGATTGGCACTGTAGACTCTCTGTAGGCTCCTCTTTTTATGTTTTTGTTTTATCTATTTATTTAATTTTATTATTCATATTATTCTTTGTGTGGATATTATGTTGGAGCGGAAAGGGTGTGAAGGTTGGATTAGCAAAAGATAGGTGAAGAAATTTAGAGGAATAGAAGAAGAAAAATGAGAGAAAAACATGGTAAATGGCCCCCAAAGCGCTTTACACA